CATCGGACCAGAACCTGTCATTGGCATCGCTTTGGGCTTTGCCAAACAAACTTTGAACACCTGGATGGCAAGAAGATTTATGGACTTCTGGCAGAATCTTCCAGGATTGGCTCACTCCAAGGCGTTTATTCACCCTTCGATGCTTGGTACCAAACAGATGTTGGACTACATTAGGGATGAACTACGATGTCTAACATGCCTTCTTACAGGTCACTGTCATGTGAATCATCATATGCAGAGACTGTCGGAAGACAGTGTGTGTCGCCTCTGGTTGGAAAATGATGAAACAGCAGAGCATATACTTTGTGCCTGCCCCGCTGGGGAACAAATCAGGTTCTTAGGGTTCGGCAGAGCCGTACTCTTACCATCTGACCTGAATTACCACTCACCATACAAACTAATCGGATTCGTTAAGGAGCTGGGTTTATTTAGCCGAGTGCTAATAGGTGTGAGCCACAATAAACCCTTGCGGGTTGCGGTGAAGGGTCGAATAAACCCACTCACTTTAGACCTAACTTAACCTAACCCCAACTTTCTACCACTTTTGATTACACCTCAAATGGTCATGTCTTGGACTCTGTTAATTAAATAAAGGACCTTGGGGTTATTCTTGATCCCACTTTAAGCTTCAATCAACATATACCCACGGTTATTCACAAAGCCATGAAAATGCTAGGGTTTATCAAACGGCTAACCCACGAATTCACTGACCCAACTGCTATTAAATCCCTTTATTGTTCACTGGTTCGTCCACACCTGGAGTATTGCTCTTCTGTCTGGTCTGGAAACTAGTAAGAAACAGAGAGACCTGACACTACTTTTCAATATTATTAACGGCAAGTGCAGTTGTGCTGAACTCCTAGAAAACATTTATCTACATGTTCAAAACCGCTCAACTCGACAGCAACCTACATTTTATGTACCATTTTATTTTAAACCACACATTCCATAGCTGTATTCCAAGAATCTTACGATTAGCCAAAAGTAACATTAATCTTGAGATGTTCAACATCTTGCATTATTTTAAAACTCAATTACGGAATACTGTGCTATAATGTTTTAATGTATAGTTTAAGGTATATGTGGTTTATGTTTCATTGACGCTCATTGTCTTTTGTCGCTTTATACTCTAAATTAACCCCTTTTAAGCTATAAATTAACCCCTTTTAAGCTATTCTCAGTTGCCATTTGTATTTCAGTACCTTATTTAATTTCAGTTCAATTATAATTTAACATTGTAATTTACTTTAAATGGGCTTGCCCGTTAATGAATAAATAAATATTGATTTCAATTTAAGCGCCACCGGTAGACAGCTGTTTCAGCCTGTTGGACATTGTCAGTACCGGGCAGGCGGTCCTCCATTGAAGACAAAATGTGAATAACCAAGAAAAGTACTTGACAAAAATAACTGCGTAAACGCAAGTGGTCTGAAGCCCACTCGCTTTTTTTATACAATTCAATACCCGTCATGGCACTAGAAAGGGGAGTAGTTGATTAAACAGGTGTTCGCCATAACAAGCTACATGGGTACTAGAAATGGGTGAAACATCGGTCGGCAACAACTGTCGTTTCTCAACAATTTCCCAAAAGATACCTATATAAGCTTTTGCCAATGTATGAATATAACAATATACCATACCAATCATCGATAAAATTCTTCTTAGAAAATTGGAATGAGTGTAAAAGAGTTAGGAATCTTCTGTAACTATTGTATTGCACTACAAATCACTGTAGCGCTAGATACAATTTGACAGATTTGGCTGAAACCACATGGTGGAAATATGTCTTGAGAAAATAGTCAGAATAAAACCAAAATTTGCGTTTAACCTATTTATTATTAATATACCCATTGAAATATATACATTTCTAAAGAGATAAAGTACCTTGGGTGAATTATTTCAAACTATTAATGTAAATTCAAATAAAGAATAGTGGTGCTTCCACTGAAAATATATACACGATATTTTAAAAAAATATTTTATTTCCAACAAATCATCAACAACTATTCTCTGCAAAACAAAGAAAACAAAAACAATGTCATCCAAAAGTAAACACTTCCGACACTTCTCAATAATTCATTACATTTCTAGTTAGTGATGGATCATCTGAAAGAGAACTCAATAGATTTCACCATCGGCTAGATTGACACTAAAAAGTATCAATGGTCGGATGGAAAAAACTATTGATTTCCATTCATTGTCTTGAAAATCGTTCAGTATCAACATTCTGGCCTAGTCTTGTTTAAATCACAATATATATTCAAATTATATACACGTATATACACAAGGTGCGAGTGGACAATCACCACAATCAGTTTTCCTTAAAATTTCAACAAAATTACTTTTAAATAAATAATAAGAGGCACAATTGCCGTGTTACTGAAACGTGATTGCCCATCTACGAGAAAATATTCTAAAAATCGTCTACATTATCAAAAATCACATTATAGAACATAGCCCCGTAAGTTCGTGTCCCTTTCGCACTGGAGGTAGTTTCGTTAACCTAACACTCTTCAGTGCTGGTTTCAGAGCAGCAGCCTCTGGCTCTTCCCCAGGAGGAAAAGGTTCAAAAGGGTCTATATAGGTTTCTGAAGGAGTTTCACTTTCCACTACACTTTCCTTCTCCTTATTTATCACAGGCAATGGTTTACTAATGGTAATTTTTATTTTGTTATAACTTATCCCGCTGGTAGGCACTGAAGAAGTATTAGACAGTAACTCCATATTTCCATCCATGGTAGTTAGCAATTCTGTTTGAGAGAGAGGAATTTCTTTCAGTTGCTCCTCTGGCTGTTCTTCCGGTTCCTCTTCGGGAGATTTTTCTGAAACCACAATGGGTGTGTCCTCGCTAACTGAGACGGGGGGTACATCATCTAAATGTAAAGATAAAGGTTATTAAAAATACATGAATGTTTTTTCTTGTTTTTGAAATATAATACAATGCTTAAATTGAAAGGGTATATTTTCAGGAGAGATTAATTTACTTCTCCATCTTGATACAAAAATTGTGGGAATCTTCCAAAGAAAGGAAGGATGCAATGAATTTCAAAGACACAAATTGGAAGAAAAAGACCTTTCGAAACAGCTATTTTCATATAAACATTGAATTACACGAAATAAAAATACATTCGAAACAAATACTGTTATATGAACGCTGAAATATATGAAAAACACTTTTCTCCATTCCGTTTGTATTTCAAACATTCGTATGTGATCAAATCAATCAACAAAATCTCATTTTGACAGATCTGATAATTTTGACACGAAAGTTTTCAAATGTAATTTCAGTTTGGATTAGTAATTGTTATGACCAAATTGAAAAAATGTGACAGATGCATATTGACAAACCTAACATAATGTGGAAATTTTCGAATGTAATTTTGGTTTAGATTAATAGTGAGGTTATGAAAACCACAATGGTTTTCTAAAATTTGTAACCCAACTCTTATGACGAATTTGAAATATGATAGCTGTCTTTTAAATTATTTTTCCTGTAGGAGAAAATAGTTCCATAAAAAGAGGGAAAAATACTTCAGAATATAATGTTATGATATCAGAGAAATGAAAGTAATGTATTCACTTCAGTTTCAATGTTATTTTTGAAATCATCAGATTCAGATAACTTTTCAAGCAAAGTAATGATATTTTGTAGTAATATAATGAAGTACTGTGAGATTTTCATGTAAACATTATATTAAACAACAATATATGTTTTGTTATTCGATGGCTCCTTTTTTGTGGATGAAGTTAATGAAGTGTTCTAAATGATGAATACAATGACCCTTTACTTGATGAAAATTGATAACATGTTCCATGACAATAATTATATAATTTTCACACTATAAATTTTATTCAAAACGTATTTCACTACATGGTAATTTCATCAGTTGAACATCAAACTATTCTACAATGTGTTTAGTACAACAGGAAGTAATTACAAAACTCAATAAGATAGATAACTGAATCTGGTAAAACGTGTTGATTTTAAAAAAAGAAATTACAATATTACTTCTAGAAAAACACTTTATCTGTAAATATTTTAATTATTGGCATTTTATGTCAAAACTGAATAAGATAAATGTTAGGTATCACACGTTAAAAGGTATGACCTCGTTAATCCTCAGCTCGCACAAGTTTATACTTCCGAGGGTTGTCGTTCGTTTATAGAACAGTGCTTTCAAAAAATTGTTCTACAGCGCCATCCAGTGGCGAGTTACAGAAAAATTGATAGCCTAAAAACCTTCTCTATGAAAAATAACTTATAAATGTCAAGTTTCATCACGATCGGTTGAGCAATGTAGAAGTTTTTTATCACTTACAACCAACCAACCAACCAAACATCCATTTTTATATATTAGATTAGACAATGGAACTCCGAACTAATGAAGTGACATTATTACTTCTAGGAAAACAGGTAATTTATATAATATGTTATTTTATGAAAACAAGTATACCAATGGTGAGTGAAAATTTTCTTTCAAATGACCAACAATGACCACTATTGTTAAATTTGTTTTCATAAAATAACATTATTAAATTACCTGTTTTCCTAGGAGGAATATCATATTTTAAAATCTACCTGTTTCACCAAAATCAATCATTTATCTAATCAAATTTTGGCATAAAATGCCAATAACTAATATATTTACAAATTGTTTTCCTGGGAGTAATATAGTATTGCAATTGTTTTATCAACCTATTTTACCAGAATTAATCATCTATCTTATTGAGTACTCTAATTTTGAAAAATCTCGAGATATGTTATTTAGAAATAACATATCTCGAGATTTTCATTTTCTCAGAGACAAATACAATAAATACAACATTCTAAAGATTACATTTCATTTCAAGTCGTTAAGGAATTCTGGTAGTTCTAGAAGACTTTGTTTGTACAACACGTGTTGTAGTTTTGTGAACTGTCCAATGAAATTTTCACAATGAAGTGTTACTTGAATACATTACTTTTGAATGTATTTTTCTGCAATATTTTTGTTACCAACCTGATAGTCCTCGTAACAGAGAGGATGGTATGTTTTGTCTTCTATCCTGATGGCGTTTCTCAGGTGCCACTCTTCCTTTTCTTCATTGAAAAACTGATCAAATTTATCTCGACAAACATCGCAACATTCATCTGTTGATTCAGGATCGGCAGAAACACTGGGAATGACGGTGTCTTCTTCTGCCTCCTCTCCAACATTATCAGCTTGCTGCTGTTGCTGATCAAAGTAATTTTTCTCTGAAAATTATATGTTATCTATGAAGCTTCGAATAACAAGATTAAGTACACTTTTGAGCCAACAAATTTTTTACCAGCAATACTAACCTCTTTCTTCCAAATCTTCTAGTTCTTCGTAATTCTTCCAATCAGACAAGGAATAGTACCACCTTCGGCTATTTGCAACACGGTAATTCCTCTTTCCTCTTCGATTTTGCCGGAAATGCCAGTCCAAGTGCTGACTATACTGCATACTAGCCTCAGGTGAAAATCTCATTCCACAACTGCTACACTGCATTCCGGAATACAGAGTTAAATAGAGAACATTCTGTCGAATCCTGAGTGACTCCGGCTTTTCAAATGTAATTGGCCTAAGATTCTCACAGGTATTTCTCTTGAGTTTAGAGACCGTTGGACCAGAAATAGGTTTCACTATTGGTTTTTCAACAGGAGTTTCTTTGTTTAAACTAGGTGGATTTTCCTTCATAAGTTCCTGGAAAATTATTTGTTATGAACCATTTCTCTATAATTTAGTTTTTACTAAAGCCTCCATTTTTCACTAAATATTGATCACAGCTAAATTACATACCTGGGAAACTGTTGGTTTTTTCTGGTCTGTAGAAGTAACAAAACCAGAGGCTACTAGTTTCTGAAACAAGTCATTGATATTTATAACTGGAGTTGGTTTGGAAGTTGTAGTTTCATTCTTTGGAACATCCAGATTCGATTGGTTTTCAACCTGATAAGCTCCAGCTGTAGGGAGGGGAGCCAATGTAGGTGTCATAGCATTGGACAGTCGTTCTAAATTATCTAGAAAATATCAGATATTATTACAATATAACAAATAGTGTGGAGGATCATAATAAAATTTATAATTATTATATATTTTTCACAATGAATTTTATTTAAGAAGGGTTTCACTACACGGAAGCTTCACCAGTTATGCGGGTTAAACAAATTATTCTACTATGTCTTTTATATAATAGTAGGTAATAACAAAACTTCATTAAATAAATGATTAATTCTGGTAAAGGTAGATTTTGCGTTAATTGATTTCTAGATATTCCAGAGGTTCAATTTTGTCTGTTACTTTCTGTATGTAATATGTCGTAGTCCATGTTTAAATCGTGGTTGTTTCCTAAAAGGTGGCAAGCATAGACAAAATTGGTAATGGTGTTTTTTGTTTTAAAATGTCTTTTCAAATAACTTTAGACAGATTTCTTTCAAAATACTAAAAGGAATTTACTGAATTTCAACACGTTATTTGTATAAGCTCTAAAATAATAATTGATTCTCATATTCATTGTCTTCTAATTGATTTATATATGTATCTTCTTTATGGCCTACATAGCTTCCTTAAGCTCAAGGCCTTAACCATAATATGTACTATGTAGAATTTTGTACTCATATTTGTAGTTTACGCAATTTATAGAATAAATAAATAAATGAAATAAAAAATAAGCAACTTTTCCCTTAATGCCACTTCATGGCTCTCAGAGTTTTCAATTTTTCCAAGCTGGCCCTCCGTATCTGGATTACAGTGTATAAGTCTAAAACAAACACTTTAGCAAACACCAGAACTGCAATACTCTTTTCGAAGCGCGTGTCTACAACCAAGTTGGCGTCTTCAGGAGGTGAAGATAACTAATTCCTAACTCTAAAACTGGTTTCCATTGATATGTAACAGAGTAAACTTTCACTTTTCCACGCACATCAATGATTTCGTGCAGATCCTCCCAGTGATTCATTAAAAGATGAATAATGGAATGGAATTGGAATGGGACTTCTGTCATTATTTATTGTTTGCATATCACATTTTGCTACTTCCTGACTTTCAAGAGCATCCAAATATCTAGTGTCATGTACAAATCTCAAAAATTTCAGACAGTTAAAGTCCATTCTATGGCCGTTCTTCAAGGCGTACTGAGCGACACTAGATTTTTCTGGTCCCCAAAATCGGCTATGTGCTACTGGTTCTTTGAAACGAGTTTTAAAGGCTCGCTTAGTCTAACCGATATATTTTTTGTAACAATCCTGGCAGCTTATTGCTTAAATCTTCAACTTTTCATTTTTCAACATCTTATCTTTAGGGTTACCAACATTTGTTGAACTAAGCAAGTTTTGAAGGTTACTGGTTCGATTTTTTTTAAATACTCGTATATAGTGTATACTGATACACCAACGAATTAGATCTTGTTTTCAATGAATATGAAAATAAGCTGTGAGAACTCTGACACACAATATATCGGTTAGACTAAGCATGCCATTAAAACTCATTGCAAAGAACACACAGCACATATCTGATTTCGAAGACCTGAAAAATCTAGTATTGCTCAACACGCCTTGGAGAATGGCGAAAGAATGAATGAAAATAGCCTGAAATTGTTGAGATCGGTATAAGACACTAGATTTTTTTGGATTTTTTCGAAAGTTAGAAAACAGCAGAATCCTAGACATAATCATAATATAGAGTCTAGTTTCAGAGTGAGGTATTAGTTTTTTTCATCTCCTGAAGACGCCAACATGGTTGATGAAACTAGCGTCGAGAAAAGTATTGCAGTTCTAGTTTTTGAGAAAGTGCTTGTTTTGGATTTATTCTACGCTAGAAGTTCCAGTTTTATTTTTCATTACAAAAAATATACATCCATTTTTTGATAATAGAATTGAAAAGTCATTACTTACTTTATTACGATAGAGGCAACTAAAATTGACAAAAAACTAAATGATCTTTATATCAGCAATATTGATCTATCAGGTAAATATGCAGTGTTCGGACACCCTATCTATTGTCAATTTTAAGAAATAGCTGACTGACTATCTCCACTAGTGAAAAAAAAAAATTTTGTAAACTACACTTACTCAAACTTTGTTGCTGCAAGAGGTTCCTATAGAAGTTAGGAGAATTTGAATTCCTATCAGGCGAGTCGGCCCCCTTTGAGATTGTTATCTTTCCCATGATTGGCAGAGCTGGATCGTAGGCATCGATATCAGGATTGCTGTCTTGACTGTTCTCGTCGAACTTAGGGCTTATGTTGCCCTTGCCCTCCATATCCCTGATATTCACCCTACCGGGTTTTATACCTTTAGGCAAGACTGAAAATCTTATAAAATGTTTTTTACCATTTATTACAATAGGTTTAGGGAGACCACCATATTCAACATTAAAAGGTACATCATTTATTAAAACTGTTTCCAACGCATTTACAAATTTCAAAGTGTGCGTTTCACCCTCAAGAACAAACTTTTGAACTTTAGCATCTAGAAACACGGGTACAACAACCTTAGCGTCTATGCATACATTAATTTTGCCAGCAACTAGATCTGTTCTTTTCGTGTCACCAATTTTCACTGGAGGTGGCGGTCCTTCCAGCTTCAAGGTTGTACTGACTCCGTTTAAGTCAATACGAATAACACTACCAAAGAAGCATTCATAAGGCACCTGATCGATGAAGATCTCCCTGCTGGGAGCACCAATCTTTACCTTATGAAGACTTCCATTGATTAGAACCTCTTTGTACGGATGGTTCAAAGCAAACACATAACACTCTTTATCGTTGAATGTGATCTGTCGTACACCATCATCCTGGAACGTCAACTCCCTGGGATCATCCCAGCTGATGAACGTGATACCCAACTCGCCATAGAATCGAATATCCTTCGGAACGCCATCAATGACAATAGTCTTGATCTCATCCTCGTTGACAACTCCGCTGGGTAAATGATCTTTCAGCTCAATGTCGGAAGAAACTGGAAGTTCCTCTTCTGGTGCCGGAGGGAAATCTGTAGGCTGTGGAAACTGCTGTGGAGGATAGTCCCTTTGCTGTTGATGAGGAGGCAAATTTCTCCATGGGGCTGGTTGATTCCATGGCCTGACAGGCATCCTTGGTGGATTTTCCCAAAAACGTCGACCGCCTCGAGCACCTCTCCAATTAGGAGGACCAGGAAATCTTCTCATTTCTCTACCATCTCTTGGGAAGAAAGGACCGGGCATGAAATCCCCTTGTGGTGGCATCGGTCCGACGTTCAACCTTTCATCTTTGTCGTTGAAAGGTATCAAGCTTTCCTCTGCAATAGGCTTCATTTTGTTTGGTTCTGGTTTGAGATCCGGTTCAGATTTTTCTTGCTGCCCCTTATCTACACGTCCTTTCTCTTCGTCACTACTAATAAATTCCTCATCACTTATTGGTTGCAAAGATATGTTGAATGATTCCTCTTTGTCTTTTTTCTTGGCCTCTTTCAATTTATTTTTCTCCATTTGCATAATTATTTTGTTGAGAAGGAGGTTCTCCTGCTCTTTGGTGAGGTTGCCAAGCTTGATGATTTTCTCATCTTCAGGAGAAATTATTATTTTCCGAGGTGAGTCAGTTGTTGAGGATACTTTTGGAACTCTCAGATCTTGATCTTCCAAAGCTCTAAGTCGCTTTTTATTGACTGAAAAAAAACACACATTATTATACACTAAAACTGCAATACTCTTCCCGTTTCACCAACCAGGAGGTGAACTAAACACATTAGTTTACTTCATCTCCTGAAAACGCCAAATTGGTTGGTGAAACGTGTGTTTAATATTGTCAACGAGTTCAACTTGACTAGTTCAATTTCAAAACCTTATTGATATAATTTTTACTAATATGAGTGCAAATAATACAATTATTCAAGATACACACTATCCATGACAATAATTAATTAAACAATTTTCACAATAAATTCCAATTAAGATGTGTTTTGCCACACAGTAGCTTCTTCAGTTGGACTGGTATATCAAACTATATTTTTATATAGCAGTAGGTAATTACAAAACCTAATAATATTTTTAGGTTTGTATAAGTTAACAGTTGGTTCCTTATAACCTAATTTTGAAATACATAGAAAGAGATAGGAAAACAGGTGATTTTTAAATATGTTAATTACTGACATAATTTTTTTGCATAAAATGTCAATAGTCAACATACTGGAAGCTCTGTATATCAATAATAGTAAGAATTCAAAATTTCTTTCAATCAACAAACAAGAAGTTATTCACTCACTATAGTTAAACTTGTTTTCATGAAATGTCAATAAACAACAAATTTATACCTGTTTTCCCAGAATTATTATTGTTGTAAATCATGCCCCAAAGAAAATAACGCCTGGCGCCACTGGTAGCCATAAACCAATCATGACATAGCTAAGAGCGCACGAATGTACGATGTTCCCTGCCGCTCTAGAAGCAGCGAGAATAATGCTACCGATTTCGATAGAACTTCGACGAAATTTCTACTGCATTCGATTACAATATATAAATGCTAGCCACGAGCATATCGACAGTCAAGTGAAAGTTACAGTGCGATCCGCGAAGCGATCTAGTAAGGCGATAGACATTCAAATAATAGTTGAAGTGATTGTTGTATTTAAAGTGAAATAGAGTTGAGTTTGATTATTCAGTGTAGTCAATTATTGGTCAACCCAGGGGTAAAAACGTAACAATATTGTAATTATTTTTTCAAAATCTAACTGTTTTACAAGAATTAATCATTAATCTAATTGAGTTTGTAATTACATACTGTTATATAAAAGGCATTGTGGATGTATGGAAAGTTTGATGTATCAGTCCAACTGAAGATTACATGTAGGGGAACACGTCTTAAATAATATTTATTGTGAACATTGTATAATTTTTATCATGGATAGTGTTATTAATTTTCATCAGGTAACGGATCAGTGTATCCATAATTTGATACACACTTATCAGATGACACATTTCAAGTTTGTTCTTCGCAACTGAATTTTCATAAAAAAAAGATAGTGGGAAAATTATTTTTCAATGAGATTTCTATAATAGTAATAATCAAACATTTATCAACGAGCACTGGACTGAGTACGAGTATAAGGCTCAAGAATTCAATGACAAATTGACTACTTCAATAAGCTCTGGCATATGTTATATTTTTTATGATATATACAATAGTTGTGAATGATGATATAATTTCAAATTATTGATTAAATCTTGTTTATGATGATTAACTCATTTTTATATACTTACATGATTTAGAAAGTATTTTGTCTCTGTTTGTAGCATTCGCCAGTTTAGCTCTAATGGCATCCAAATTACTTTTGGGCGATTCTGATTTAGGGCTATCTGTAGGACTCTCACTTGAAGATATGATAGGTGGAGGTGGAGTAGGGGGACGTTGTTCCGTAATAACAGGTTGTTGTTGTTCCGTGCTAGTAACTGGTTGGTGCTCTGCAGTAATGGGCAGCTGCCTTAGATCCGTATCCTCGTCTCCAAATAACCTGGAACATGGAAAATGTAATATGCTTCTAATTATTACTTAACAAGGACTGTTTTCAACTTGAAAGCAATACTTTTAGTTGTAATGTACCCTATTACTGATTGGGATAAAATTTGGTGTTTTGTTTGCACTAATCGTACTCTAGATCTTGTCGTACTACCAAATGTTATTCGCTCTCAATGCTTGATCAAAAAAGTCGAGTAGAAACAACGAATGATTCTTGGCAGGAACTACTAAACCTGAATAAGTTTAGATTCATTGAAAACAAATGTTTGAATTTTGTTAATCTTGATGAATTATGTTGAACAAGTTATTTTGTGTAAGTTTCATTATTCCTATCCTTTTCATAAAAAAGATAAATCCATAATGGGTAAATTGAGCACTTACTTGTCAAAAACTTCCGATTTACTTTTTTTGGCGCTGTGCTGGTCAGGAGATGCTTCAGAAGATGTTCTTTTTTTAGTGATAATAGCTGGAGGTGGTAAATGACGAAAATCAACATCCAAACCTTTCGATGTTGAAACCACATTGGAATCTACAAAAAAATATTCATGTTATATGTAATGAATAAATAAAGATAAAGATTTTGATGACAATATAAGTTGGATACTTACATTTATCCTTGTGAGATAAAATAGTTCTAAATTACTGATAGGAAATTCAAATGAAAAGTTATTATGGAAAAAATCTGAGTTGCCAAAAAAAAGGCATTTAAAAACTTAAAAAAAAAACTAACTAACTTGTTAGGCTAGTCACTAGCCTCTAGTGCCACTACTTCGTTTCTAGGTCTACAACCAGAAGATTGATTGTCTGGACCAAGAAAAAGCAACAAAATTACTTGAACAGCATGCCAAAAGATGAAAAATCAAATAAATTGGAAAAAAATGTCTTCTAATTCTTTGAACACTGAATGATTGAGATTTGAACTTATATAATCGAAAAATGGAGATCATGAATAACTGGAACTAGTCAAATACTAACTTGATAGTTAGTATGGAGAAGAATAATCTTGTACTAATTATTGTTATTTTTGGAATGAACTCTCAAAAAAGATTTATAGATCATGCATGTGTTTCTTTCAAATACAAACTGAAAAAAGAAGCCCTTTCAAAAGAACTACCTTCTTATGAACATTGAATTACACGAAAATAATTTTTCCCATTCAGTTGAACTCGAATAATGAACGTGTGTGGAGTACAAACTGAGTGGGAACTGTTTTTCATGTAATTCAATGTTCATTTGAAAGAGGTTTAAAAAGGGCTTCTTCCAATCTAAACATCTATGCAGAGTCCATTTTGAATGTAATTGCTTTTTTCCCTTCTTCGGAAGTTTCCCACATTTTTTATATAATGGAGAAGTAGGAAGCAAAAAGCTTCATTCCCGAAAACATAAAAAATATATCTATTTCAATTTATTATGCATCAAATTACAAATGTTTGCCTTCCCAAGTAATGCAATTTATGGCGTAATCATCTTCCTTCACCCTATATTTCTGATACAGAAATGCTTGATGTGTCATTTATGATTAGGGAACACTTATGAAATTTCAAATGTTTCTTGTACATTTGTTGACAATCTCATCAAATTTTGACCACAGTATAATTATTGTCTTACATTTCTGTAAAAATCTTGCGTCAATGGTGTTCACTATAGTTTTTCACTTCATCAGAAAAGTGAGTTAACAAAAGAATATTTTTTTTTTTTCAATCTCACCGTTAACTTTCCTAACTTAAGTTTGCTAAATTAGATGAGGTTGTTTTACTTCACTTCTTAATCGGATGAATATTTTCATTTGTTTCAAAAAGTTCAACATAACATCAATCTATACTTAATCAAAACAAAAAGAGGTTCAAATAACAACAAAATGTGTGAGTTTTGGTGTTATTTGAACCTCCTGTTTTGCTTTCTATGCTAGTCACAAATCTTGAAACTGCTATCAGAACAATAGATTGCATCATGATTTTTTAAATTCATGTTAAGAAAAATGTTCACAGTTCAATACTTGTAGAGATTTCAAATGTGGCATATCAAGTTATTTAAATTGTGTCAACATCAATAACAGATGTTTGCGTGATTTTCTTAACACTGCGATGCAAACGATCAAATAAAATCCATCTCAGCATGTTTATAATGGAGTTTCAACGGAGGTTTCTTCATGAAGGAGAGTGCCATTCTGGGCTTCAAAGTTGCAAAACTTTTGTCGAGTTCCATTAGTCAGTAACCTGTATTCATAAATTTTGTCCGAGAATGATATAAAAATGATTGGAATTTTTGTATATATTTTTCTCAAAATCGTTAATGTTTCGGAAAGTAAATATACATCAAGGTATCTTCCACTGATACACGTTGACCAAAGCGTTGGTCTCCTGGTAAACTGAGTATCGATGAACACATTCAGTGGTCTGAGGTGGATTAAAGGGCACAACAGGAGTAAAGGTAATCGCATTGCCGACTCTTTAGCCAAGGAAGCGGCTGGACTAAGAATTTCAGGACCCAGTGGCACCTACGGCTTAATGACTTCGACAATTGCGGAACTAGCCAAATGTTACACCCACTTCACTTTGGGCGACCCTGGTAAGCTGGCGCCGAAGAAATATTTGGCAATGACCAGGAAAAATCTACGCTTAACAGTAGGATTTCTGACTGGCCACTGTCAACCAAGGAAACACGTCCACGAAGATGAGATTGTCAGGCATGTCCTATGCGAGTGCCCGGAGTTATCATCAATAAGAGAGTGTGTGTTCGGCGAGTCTTGGCCTACACCTGCCGATATAAAGGAGATGTTTCCCAGTTACCTGTACACCCTCCTGGAAAGGACAGGATGGACGATGAACTAGGGGAACAACTCCTCGGGAGGATGTACAATGGGTCACATGTGTCCTAAGTGCTGTGGGCTTACACTCACCCTCCCTACTCTACAGATACACATTCAGGGGTGTGCTCACCACCCAACACAATTTCATCTACCAAATAGCATTTGATATTTAATTCTGCCACATAATGTTTGCAAGTCTGAATATAAATAATTATTATCACTCACCTTCAACAGTAACCATTTGTACCATTTTCATACTTTTAGCACTCATTTTAAAAATAATTTCAAAAATCAGAGGTAACGCACTAGCTGCATAAACTATATCTTGCGACTGAAGTAAAATGATGAAGTTAACAGGGTTGTCTTTTAGGGGGTCACAAAAGACATTCCAGTTATCGGAGGTTATAAAGCCGAATTGAAGTAGGTATATGAATGCGACGCTAGCGCCAATGATATATGCTAACATTTTAAGAAAAAATCTGTTGTTTTTCCGTTAACCAACTGTCGCTCCCAAACGAACGACAACTCTCAAAAGTCGAGGTCTTACCTTTAAACGTGTGATTCCTAACAGAAATATAAATATATAAAAAAAATTAAATCATTAAATTTTATGGTCAAAATTTATAAATACGACAATTTACTGACTAATTATACGGTTTATAACTGTAACTTTTCAGGTTGAAGTTTTCGGTTTGCCATTTATTATTTAGATTTCAAACTTATTCACTTCTCAGATTGTGGAAGGTAAAAAGGCCATAACACTTCAATTGCCTCTCAACAATTTAGATTACAAAATACATATTTAATAGATGGTTAATAATAAATCCATTTTCTTCATTTATCCACCTCCGCCGTGACTTCCGCTTTTGCAAAGGTCAAAACTTTGCACTTCCGTCTATGCCTCTGCTATGTGAACTCTGTTACAAAACTATTACTAATAGCTCGATTTGTAAATTTCATTAGTTAGGACTTCCATTGTCTGATATTATATAAAATGATTTGAAATCCCTGAAAGAACTAAAAAAGAAAAAAGAAAAATGAATAGCTGCCAAGTCAAGTGAAGTAACTTGGCTTGAAATCTCTTGGCTTGAAAACTTTATTATTTTTTGTTCAATTGTGCTATTTTTACTTGTGTTTTATTTCACTTTTAATTTCAGGTTTTTTTGCTGAATATAGTTGTTTTTTTCAGCTTTTCATTATTAATTCTTATTTTTTAGTTCTTTCAGGGATTTCAAATCGTTTTATATAATATCAGACAATGGAGATCCGAACTAATGAAATTCATCATGAAACATCGTCAATCACCTTCAAAGAAAAGCTTGTTTTGTAAGCATAATTGCAGGGCTCCTTATAGATTACACCAGAAAACTGACATGTATTATACAGCCAGTCAGTAAATTGCAAAATACAATACAAGTGTTAAGTTCCTGGGAATTTATTGAAAACACAAAATTACTGTCTCTCGACACGTATTTCACTAAATAAGTTAATATCATCAGGAGATTATATGATGATACTAACTCGGTAGATTCATTTCACGCCAGAGGTTCCAAATTTCACGTATCAAGTTCCTGGAAATTCTCCTTGACAAACGCTTGACCTGAAATGCTCATTGCTAACATTAAGTCTTCAAGTTGAACTCAAAGAAATTTGACTTCATGAATCTGATAACAGTTTTGACTATGACTCAACTGCTCAACATCTAATATGCCCAGGTTGATTCAAGACTGGGGAGTAGGTCATCCATGACTAGAAATGAATTTGTTGCTCAGAAAAGGATTTTACATTGTATTGCAGATGTCCCAAGACGAGAATCATGCAGACAAATTTTCGAAGATCTGCATATTTTGACAATAATATATTTCCGTATATTTGAAATATGTATTTATGTATTCAAAAACAAATTAAATTTCAAAATGAACCGAAGTGATTATCACCATGACACTAGAACAAAAAATAAATTTTATGTGCTACATGCAAGAGTGAAAGTTACTTCAGTGAACCTGAATACTTCGAAAATTGAAAAGTATTTCAAATGAAAATTGTTTTTATTCATTGAATGAATTTTTAGATATTTATATTTTGATTTTGTGCAATTGTTAGTTCTAAGTGTTGTTTTATATAGGTTTTTTATATTTTGTGTTTCTTGCATTGACCATTCCCATAAAATTTGTATTGAAATAAAGCATTATCGTTATTTTTTCTTCAAAAATCCTGTTAGTGGCTTCAAACATAGATTTTTGAACCTGAATTCTGTGGTAAAATTACCATAAAATTTGTATTGAAATAAAGCATTATCGTTATTTTTTCTTCAAAAATCCTGTTAGTGGCTTCAAACATAGATTTTTGAACCTGAATTCTGAGGTAAAATTCATATAAAAACCTGATGTGTCTATTCTATCTATCAGGGAAAAAACTCAGCTCCAGGGCATGAATTTATCACAAGAAACATATTGAGAAAGCTGGATTTTGAGATTCACAAGTATATCATAAAAAGCTATGAATTTTGCCTTAAAATGCATTATATATCTGACAATTGGAAAATGGGCACAATAATTATAATTCCCAAACCAAACAAGGATCACTCCCTTGCAGACAGCTATCGTCCGATTACTCTCCTGCCTGTAATTAGTAAAGACTGTTAAAGTATAAACTGTTATTTGAAAGCAATTTTGTTACACGGGCGAAAGGACTTTGGTCGATAGCTAGTTGAGCAAAATTGTAATTTTGTTCAATAAATTACAATTATTATTATTCCAATTCGAAGATGAAATTGTGCAGTTAATTTTCTACTAAATGTAGCTGATGGCACATTTTAGTTAACACAGTGATTCTATTAGCATTCTCAATACAGAAAAGCAAAAATGATTGAATTTGCACAAAAAGTTAAATAATTCACAGTGATTGTGTACAATGCAGAAAAAATCTACACTCAAGGTGTTTTTCAATTTGCTTTTGCCAATTTCTACAGTGTTGATTAATCCAAGACTGCAGTTGCGATTCCCAAATTGCAATGCAATTGCATTATAGGTCCAAAAAGAGTTTTGGGTTCATATTCACTATTATACCTCATTTATCCACGCATTTTTATGTTTTTATTTAAAAATAAATCACGATGGGTTATTAGTGTGCAGCAAACTATTGACATTTCAATAATTTTTTGCACATTCGCGAATGACGGCTTTTGGCCGGAAAGTACTATGGGTTCATTTGAAAAGTTCGTTTCAACAAATTCTAATAAACACAAAAGTGAGCACCACCGAATTTTGTGGAAATACAAGTAGCAACCATTTATAAAGCTGAGAAATTGAATGCGAACCTAGTCTGTGGACACAAACAAATTATGGAAAAACCGAGAATGAAAAAACCCATTCCCATAGTACTTACTATGGATCAGCTCACAAAATTATGCATTGTAAGCACAATTATTTCAAATGATTATATTGAACACTTTACCTATTGGTTTCTTTATAGGAAAGTTGAAATAAATTATCCCAGATGAGAAAAACACTATAAGTCAAAATTTATATTATAAGTTCTGGCCTCATTTGTTATATCCGCATGGCAGTGCGTTTCTTATGATCAGTATGCCATCCAGTTGGGCATCACCAAAGACGTTTCTTGAATATTGAAGAAAAGGTTAAGATTGGAAAGATATATACTTTAGTCATGTAAGATAGTGGGGTGATTCGTTTCACTTTTTCCCAAAAAAAAAACACCTATTCGCCTGATGTAATCCTAATATCCTGAAAATGAATTTTAATGAACACAAACCCAACACTAGGAGAGCTATATGTATAGAAGATTATCAAATTTCAGAGACAACATTCTCGAAAGCTTACCTCTTAAGAGAGTATTGAACTGTTCGTCGTCAAAAACTGGGCATCTTGTGATTTAATTAAGCAAAAAAACTGGAATTTCCTGGACTAATTTACAGCCAGAATTTAACTTCCACTAAATCAAGAAGGGCCAATTATCAACTTTAACAAGAAGCAGAATTAAAATCCAAGACTGTGTCCCTTAATTCTTTATTAGAACTACCTTTGTACATATCCCTTCACAGAAAAGATATAGAATCAAAGCATTCTTCTTGAAATAATCATGCTTGGTTTAACAAATTGAATCCTAGAAAAGTCAGCAGAAAAAAAACGGCCAACGTTGGAATGACAACAAAGAAAATTTGATAATAATTTTTACCTAAATTTGAAATGAAAAACGATTTGATTATGATGAAGAGTTCATATATATACAGAGTATTCAGAAAATTCAAAAGATACACATGAGTTACAAGATAAATGATAATTGTCAATTCAAAATTTCGCATAAATTGGGATCTGGCAACTCACCTTACATAAAAGTGTTCGAATGGTGTCCTGTATAAGAGGTGATTTCTTTTGAATGCATCTGAATAATTTCAGAAAATAATGGTATGATAACCTGAACACTACAAGCAGAGGTTCATTACAATTTAATCACTTTTTATATAGAATGTTTACAGCTTTTAGATATTGTAATAACGGTTACAGGTTATGGTTACACACATCTCAAATCACTAGGTAGATTTTAAGTAGGTCTTTCGGGTTGAAAAACTGGGCACGAGCTGATGATATCTTCATCAATAGATAAGTTGTTGATCAGTGAACCTTGTGTGTCCAATTCTGAAGCGAGATAGGATAAATCTAAAGAAATGAATTTTAAACGTTCAAGACAGTCTCGGATATACCTACACAGTAGGTTGAATGGACTGACGCCTATCAGAAAACAACTACTCCCCCGGCTAATACAACGAAGGGCGTTGGATTATATCCGACAGGCGTCAGTGCAGAAATCTTCACAGAAAATTTCCTGCATATGCAATTGGCAATACAATTGAGAGTCGACCTTCAATTTTGGAACGGGCACATTTGCAAAACGGTCTGCAAGTGTGCCTGTCGGATATAATCCAACGCCCTTCGTGGCCGTTGCCAAGGGAGTAGTTGTTTTCTAATAGGCGTAAGTCAATTCAACCTACTGTGTAGGTATATCCGAGACTGGCTTGAACTTTTAAAGTTCATTTCTTTAGAATTGTCAACCGCCAGTTTTCAAGCATAGCCCACTAACTAATAAGAACAAGATAGGATAATTTGATGTTTTCTGTGCATAGACTGGGAGTTTTGTTTGGACATGAACAGACAAATTGCCCCGAGCTCATTAGTTTCCAACTCACTCCAGCTTTCCAAGAACGTACTAGACTTTGATTTGTAGTCCTGTAGGGACGGCGTCCTCGTTGCTTTTGATTTCCATTTCACAAGCTCAAGCACCAATGATAAAAAACACAGGGTCATTATCTTAATGGAACCAGTGTTGTCATATTGTGGTCATATCTCCCAGTAAGTCACGTAATGAAGTCTGTAAAAACATGAGGTACCTTTTTTCGTTGAGGATAATTTCATGAAAGCAGTTCTATCAGATATCCATTATTCATACCAACCACAGAAATATTTGGTTAACTCCCCCACTTTTATTTTCTGACAAGTTATGACAATGTCTGAATTTGTACACAAACTCTTGAATGAATTGCAATCAGAAAATCTTTCAGGATACTTGTCATTACATTCATTATATTTTCAATGATTAAAAAATAGATCAGTTGTTGATCAGTGAACCTTGTGTGTCCAATTCTGAAGCGAGATAGGATAAATCTAAAGAAATGAATTTTAAACGTTCAAGACAGTCTCAGATATACCTACACAGTAGGTTGAATGGACTGACGCCTATCAGAAAACAACTACTCCCCTGGCTAATACAACGAAAGGCGTTGGATTATAGCCGACAGGCGTCAGTGCAGGAATCTTCACAGAAAATTTCCTGCATATGCAAATGGCAATACAATTGAAAGAGTCAACCTTCAATTTTGGAACGGGCACACTTGCAGAACAGTCTGCAAGTGTGCCTGTCAGATATAATCCAACGCCCTTCGTGGCCATTGCCAAGGGAGTAGTTGTTTTCTGATAGGCGTCAGTCCATTCAACCTACTGTGTAGGTATATCCGAGACTGGCTTGAACATTTAAAGTTAATTTCTTTAGAATTGTCTACCGCTAGTCTTCAAGCATAGCCCACTGACTAGTAAGAACAAGATAGGATAATTTGATGTTTTCTGTGCATAGACTTGGAGTTTTGTTTGGACATGAACAGACAAATTGCCCCGAGCTCATTAGTTTCCAACTCACTCCAGCTTTCCAAGAATGTACTAGACTTTGATTTGTAGTCCTGTAGTAAACTCCATAGGGACGGCATTCTCGTTGCTTTTGATTTCCATTCCACAAGCTCAAGCACCAATGATAAAAAACACAGGGTCATTATCTTAATGGAACCAGTGTTGTCATATTGTGGTCATAATATCTCCCAGTAAGTCAGGTAATGAAGTCTGTAAAAACATGAGGTACCTTTTTTCGTTGAGGATAAGAAAGCAGTTCTATCAGATATCCATTATTCAAACCAACCACAAGAAATATTTGGTTAACTGCCCCACTTTTATTTTCTGACAATGTCTGAATTTGTACACAAACTCTTGAATGAATTGCAATTAGAAAATCTTTCAGGATACTCGTCATTACATTCATTATATTTTCAATGATTAAAAAACGATACTTCATTTTAAGAGTATCTCTTCATTTGTTGAACCATTTTGATTTTTTTGCTACCAATTGTAAAACAGTCCTTTCTGAATATTACTGGAGGTTTTATCCAACACCAAACCGTTATTTTTAACACCTCGACACATGTTTCGATCAACAAATGATCATCTTCAAGAGGAAGATCAAACTGATCACTTGGTGATTGAAACACTTGTTGAGGTGTTAAAATAACGGTTTGGTGTTGGAAAAAAACTCCAGTAATACTCATTACTACATCAAAGGTTCCAAACAGTGCATCACAAATCCTTTCTGAGCATGCTTCAAAACCAAAAGTTGAAGGAAGTAATTCTATACATTCTTGCCGAGTTAGTTTTTCTTGAAAATCGTTAATAAAATCCACTAAAAATCTCCACGGATAATTTCTTTTTGTCACACTTCCTTTTTTCAAAACACTCACTATGAATTAAGGACGCTGTCAATTTGAAAAAAATTGAAAATTTGAAAAAATAATAATAGAGCAAGTAAGCATCATCATAACTCAAAAACAAAAATCATATCAGTGTTCACCAACTGGTCATGTGCAATATTACAAGACTACATACACCTTCTTTATCTATAATAGATCACTATTCAAATCATCTTTTCATAATGCTGGAAAATGCACTGAACAAGATCAGACATGTTGTTAAAGGGCTGTTCAAGTATTTGTTGCTAGTGAAAGTATTTGGTTTCAAAAGTTGGGATCAACACTAAATTGAGAAGCGTTTTGGTCGAATGTTGAAAAAAAAAATTCGCTGAAAACTGTTTCCAAGAAAACACTAAAAAATGTCTTACTTTTTTCCTCTGGCGGCTCGCACTGCAAGCGCGGTTGCTTTTCAGGCGGCCCGAAAGATCGCAGATCCTCGTCCTGTGGAACGTCGGGCGTTGGAGATCCAATATGGCGTCTAACAGAGTTACGATTTTTCACAGTAGATTTAACACCCTTAAAACTAGAAATTTCACTTTTATGTTTTGGCTCCTTGGTCGGACTCAGTTTTTTCTCATCACTCCTCTCTTTTTTTCTGTGCTTTGCAGCAGATTTCACTGTGTCACTTTTAGGTTTACTGGGAGAATCTAAACTGCCACTAGAACTAGACTTAAGAGAACTAGAATCAGAGTCGGTTGATCTGGATCCGGCTCGTGATGTTTTGTGCGATTTGTGGGATTTTGGGAGGTTAGCGGGTTTAGTGGTATCAGTTTTTTGGGGTGGGACATCATCTTTATTGAGCAACCGTGGATCGGTTCGAGTTTTTCGACCGCCCACTTTATTTGTAACAATTTTATTATTCTCTAAAAATGCAGTCCTTTGCCCTAACTGAACACCTGAGTTATTATTCGACGACTTTTGCTGTTGTCTGAGAAGTCTAGGATCCCTGATGAGAGGCCGAGATGCTGCATCGATCAGATCCCTATTTACAGGATTTATTCGAGTACTGTTGTTTGTAACCTGCAATCTTTGCTGCTGTGTTGCAGTTGCTACACCCTAAAATAACGAGACAATAAAAGTTAATCAAAATCTCACAATTTTATTGTAACTTACGATTCCAACCGGTCTATTTTTCCCTAGCGAAGGAACGAGCTGTTTCGCCACTTCTGGTTTGAGAAGTATACTCTGAAAAAAATGTATATTTTCAAAATGAAATAAAATATTTTCAATAACCAACATATCCTTCGGTATACTTTCATATTTCAACTACTTTCAATAGTTACTCATGAAATATAGCATCACAGAAATAATGTTAAGAGGTAAGAGATATATACGGGTTTAACAAGCGATTTATTAAGATTCACAAAAGATGAGTTTATATATAACTTTTTCCATCAATGCTAATTTTGAAGAAGGCATTTTTCCAGATCTCTTCAAATTCTTCAGAGTATTACAAATTTTTATAAAGAGTAACAAAATCATGATCAGTAATTATTGACCCATTTCTTTGATTCCCATCCTATCAAAATTACTTGAATTAGCTTATTGAATCAACAATCAACAATGATTTCAGGAGGGAAAATCTACTACAACTGCACTTACAGATTGGTTATTTTCATCACTGCATGTATGTGTCTCTTGAGAACTGTCGAGGATATTGTAAAAAGTGTTGTTCTTATTGCCTACCATGCATTTTCAAAGTAAAATGTCCTATGAAATTCTCTCTTTTATATATTTCTTTAATGGAATGCCTCAGTGACAGTAATGTGTTATAGGATAACTAGGATAAACAAGTAGATCATACATGCTAAAAAATCAATGAAGCATGTATTACCAGCTGAAATCAACAATGAATTAATCAGGATTACTCTGCATTTATTATGTAATGACATTCTCATATCAATTTTAATGTTAATATTTGGATTTTATGAGTTTTTATTGCCCATTAGAGGATAATAAGGCTTTTATTCAATATGAATTACAGGGGCAGTTGCTAGTCTATCTTCATAGAGAAAAATTCTTGACAGTGCTTTCCACCTTTATTTTGAAAAGCAAGTTTAACAAGTAAAACCTGGAAAATGCCACTGATATTAATTATAATACCAGAAACATAGAGTTATTGCGAATTCAGCAACATCGCATGACTCTTTTTAAGAAATCTCGACAATATAACACTGTCATATCATGTGCTTCAATAAGTTACCGGATGAATTTTAAAAGGTTAAAAAATCTCGTTTATACATTTATGGTTTTTATATGTTTATTTATATTTTTGTATTTAAAATAGCTTAAAATTTGTTTCTGCAGTTACATCAATTTTTTGTTGGTATCAAATCAATCAAATCAAAATATACTTTATTGCCCGAAGATTTGCATCTTATTGACAAAGTCCAAGAAATACAATGTAGATATAGAAAAAGTTTCAAAAAAGTATAAATGTAGATATAAAAAAAGTTCCAAAAATGTATAAATGTAAATATAAAAAAGTTCTAAAAATGTATAGATAAAACACCACCATGTATAAAGTGATAGGACAAAGAATAAATTGTTAATTTATTGTTAAAAGGATTCGCTAAAATACTCTTCCAAACTATAATAGGGTCTATCAATAAGTAGGTTCTTCACCGCCTTTTTGAAATGAATGTTGCTTATATTTGCAGATCTCATTTCTAATGGTAAGTGATTGAACAACTTACCATCATTATAGTATATGGAATTCTTGATTAAATTTAAAGTATATTTTTGAATGTATATAATTAAATTGTTTAACAGGAGTAATCCCAATAAGTATGAGTGAAATAGAATACAATGGCAACATATAAAATCACTAGACTAATAGAATAGTATATTATACAAACACTGATACATACATATAATAATAAAAAAAAACATATCTGTAGAATTCTAATTGAATTGGCAGTGTGCAGAGTTGAAACACAGTATGTCACCTCTATGGGTTGTAATTAGATTGCAATTAAACTTGCATATAAATCAACTTGGCACGAATTATATACTTGAAGCATCCAAATGGAACAACAAAAATATCATTCTGAATAGAAACTATTATAAATTTTACAGGCGTTTTCAACTTGGGATTTTATTGACAACTGATTCTTGATATAGGCAAATAGAAGATTTCGTTTCTACTACTTCGTCTCGGTATGTGAAAATCTAATTAAGATAACAAATCTGGGCAGTCTACCAGATTATGAATCAATTTATATACAACGATACAAGCATATCTTCTTCTTATCTAAGGATAACAGTGCAAATCCATTTATCAACACGCTATTATCATTTCCTTGGGATGGGTAAGCTCCATCAAATTGCGTAAAACACATGTGATTCATTATTGTTGAACGTTTGTTGATAAAACCGTGTAGATATAGAGTTATACGATTTCTCACATTAGGAAAAATGTTATACAGAAACATCTCAAAGATCTTTGCAACCTAGGACAGAATTGTTATGGATCAATAGTTCTCTATCATTTAAGAATAAAACATTTGGAATTCTTGAAGTGCCTTTTTTAATATGAATATAGGTATAAAATGAGGAGGGATCAGTTCTGATCGAGTTGTCTGCTTTGTTTGTACTCCTTGTAGGCTTGAGATATCTGGGTTTTTATTGATCTACGAAGATTTCTAAATTGATCACATATAGTTTGATTTTAATATTTTAAATGACTCATCTTCAACTTTGATCTCGTTTATGATATCCCTGTTGAACCAGGGTGGAAATTTACTGGTAAAATTTGGTCTAAGAGGAACACATTGGTCCATTATTGAATAAGATATTGCATAGAAAGTGTCTATTTCCAAGTTTACTTCGGTACTGATCAACCTGTATTCATAAACAAAGAATAGAGTAGCGGAAACTTTGCTTTACAAAAATTTAAAAAAAAACGCTTTGTCATCATACAGAATTCCACTTTTCTGTTTTTCAAATACTAGAGAAATATTCAAAGCTGGATGATAATCATCTTCACGGATGAATAGTATGTCATCATGAATGACATTACAGCCATAATTATTTGATAATACGAGATCTAGGAATCGATCTGATTCATTGAGCACATTGTTGTGTTGCTACAGGTCATAGAAATTGATAAATTGTTGAATGTTTTGCAAGTTGCGATTTCTATCCTCCGATGCCTTATTTATAAAAAGTGGTTGGTTTTGGTGGTAGATTTTGATCATATAGTAATTCAAGTGATTCTAGTGTTTCAAACAAATTTTGCATGTGTACGTTATTAGCAGTTGCTGGTATGTTTATTTATTTATTTATTATTTATTTATTTATAAACATATAATTGGCCAGTAATCGGAATAGAGCTGGTGTTATGGCTTACAAAGTATTCTGTGGTAATATATAATCTTGTAGTTATTTATAAGAATACCAAGATAATAAAAACAATGTATGTAACAAATACCAGTAGAATGTAATGATTTTATGATATCTTACAACCGATAATATAAATAATAATGAACTGTTGTTGGTGATCCGATATGTCTATTTCCATAATACCAGTCATTTCTAACCGCCAGTAAAACACCACCGCCTCTTAACACTGAGTTCGCTTTGAGGTTTCTATCTGATCTAAACACTTTATTTTAATAATAATACATAAGCTTTATTGTCAGAAGAATGAATCCTATTGACAAAGCGTGTGTGAATAAGATAAAAATGTATACAAGCATATACTAAGTCTATATATTTTAAAAATTACAGAAATATCTATACGTATTCATATACACACACACACACACACATATACATATGAAAATATGCTAAAAACAGATTTTTACCACAATAAAGAAAATGTCCACATGCTCGGAATTGTTTATGTTGGATTATATCCAGGTTTCAAAGATTCCTATGAAATGGTGTTCATCAGCTGATGCAGCTTTATAAAATATTTAAGTTTTGGTATTTAAGCCTCGGATGTTCTGATAATAGTAATGGAGGTGTGCGTGTTGCTCCTGGTTAGACACAGTTAGCAGTTTTTTTGTTACTTTTGGTTCACCATTCACGTATTTGATCCTTATATTTAGCTAATCAGTTAGTTAAGTCTTGTTTCACAGATTTGTGTTGCTTGAATTGCCGCAGGGTTTTGTCCAATGTGATAATAGGGTTTCTGAACTTAGCTATTCCCTTTACGATTTTGGCTTTGCGAATAATTGACATTGCATCTTCAGGCGATAGCAGAGTTATTTTTAGAGGCCTTGGTGCATTTGCGTTCTCGTTCAGGTGCCCTACCCTAAATATTTTTATATTAAAATTTCCTTGTTGGTCTATATCACGATCAGCAGCGTTTAATATTTCTGAGGCACTCATTCTATCAACTGAATTATCAGGTTCGCACAAACCAAATATCATTACATTCTTTTTCCGAATATCGCATTCCGTCATTTCTGCAATTTTCTCGTTGAAGTTGATTCTTCCTGGGTGACATACATTTCATTTCTGGTGCTGATAGTTCGGAATAGGCACACTGACTATGTATTGGTCTCTTGCACGAGTCACATTCTAAATAATCCTAGTCACCAATATCCAATTTGCAACAATTCCTTGTAAGTTTTCAAAGCCTGTCCTGCCTCGAAAATATATATATTAATTACACTAATGGCTAGCCGCTATTAACTGTTTTTTATTCTGAGAGCGCCAAGGAAAACAGATAACACTAGAAAAACAGCCGACTTTTTGTTGATGCCGTCCGTACAGTATTCAATGATTCATTCATCAGTATTCATGATGATTCATTCATACATCTAATTGTAATTATTAAGAAGAGTATTTGTGATGCAACAAACTTTTAAACTTGAACTTGTTCAATGCACTTGGATTCATACAATGATATCAAACTATATATAAAACTGATTTGTACAACATACCTTTCAACTTGCTAGAAAAAGCACACTAAGTTAATCTCTTGCTCGGAAATGTTTCCTTGCGATTTCTGAGGGTTGCTGTTAGAGTATTTGTGATGCAACAAACTTTTAAACTTGAACTTGTTCAATGCACTTGGATTCATACAATGATATCAAACTATATATAAAACTGATTTGTAACCAGGTTAAAATCGATTATTTTGAGGAGCTCACTTTCTGTGTAATAGTTTATTGAATTGTCAGACAATTGTACTGAACTTTGATATTTATACGGGAACAGTATAATGTCATGTATGTCATGTATGTCATGTATACATGACAAAGTAAAGGTTCAATAAAAATTGAACCAATTCAATTAGACCAAGATTAAATACCAAATATAAAATTTTTTACCTTTCCTGGTACGGCCGGATTGTGTTTGATTTGCTCCTGTAATTTTACTTGGGTCTGCAATACTTCGAGCTCTAGCTTTTTTTGTTGCAGTTCAAGAAGCTCCTTTTGTTTCTGTATTAATTGTTCCTGCATCAGTAGAGTTTCCTTGTTAATGTTCGGCTGAACTGTTCCCACAATTTTTGGTGGTTCAGGTTCTGATTTTGGTTTTGGAGAAGTCGTCTGCAAAAAATAGCATTGCAAACTCTATTAAAAGTTGATAAACATCCTAAAGTTAAAAATATAGTCAATTTGCATAACCATCAGGGTAAGTTTATCAGATGCATATGTTATTGAAACTTTGAGGAAGGAAAATATCACATCCTCGCTATCAAAAACTTCCACTTTCACTCATTTTATTATCTATATTTATAAAACAAATTTTATTGAAATAGCAAATGCAGCAGTTTTAATGAGAATCGCATTTTCCTTCCTTAAAGTTATGTTCAAACTTTGTTATTTTTTTTCCAGTTTGAATCTGAAAGTTATTTCTTTGCATGATTTACACATCCATGTAGAGAGTTACTTATTTTAAAATTGATTACTTCCTTCCTTTCTTTGGAAGATTCCCACATTTTTTGTATCAAGATGGAGTAGTAGAAAGCCAAAAACTTTCTTTCCAAAAAAAAAATTAGTCACTCCTAAAAATATTACCCCTTCAATTCTATTAAAAAACCGCACGTGTTACGGATTCGAGGTTTTATCAAGCTGGTTATTCCTATTGTATTGCTAAAGCAAAAAAGATTTCATAAAAAAGGTAGATTTATCATAAAATTTTGAGGTTTTGCATTACTTTAGATGAAATAAAAGAATTCAAAAACTTACCTTTTTTAAAAATTTTGGGTTGAAGTGAATGCTATTTGAAGGCGGTTGTGCAGTAACAGGCCAAGCAGGGTCGAGGAGGTTAATTTGGACATCTATTGCATAGAGCTTCATTTGAGGAAATACTTCATTCCACGTCTGTCGCAATTTAAACATCTCCGCTCTCGTCTTTTCGTCCACCTTGAATTTATTGTTTTGGTAAGTATCACAATAAATGTCAGGGGTCAAGGTCTGGTAAATAAAGAAAAATGAGATGAAAAGGTGAAGGAAGCTGAAGAGAAGCAAAACATATAAACACGTTACTAAGTGAATTAGTTTGCGGGAATTTGAAAAGAAAGTTTTACTACAACACCACAGAACCATTTGTTTTGAGTGAGAAAAGAAGGTTAGAATAACGTGCGGTAAAGGTATTTGCAGCATGGTTAATGATATAATAATTGAACTTCTTACATTTTATAAGTTTCTCTTGATTATCTATAGAGTTATTGTTTTTAAATAACAGGCATATGTTAAGCATGCCAATTGCAAAATTAAGCAGTAAAATACATCTACAAAGTAGATATTAGTGACACAAACCCTTATTCATCCATAAGAAATTACTAACTATACACTGCTTGTTCCTTTTAGACGGTAAGCTTTATATTTCAAAGCTTTTCAACCTTTACTTTCAGTTTGTCGGGACTCGTTATTTTTATATTAACATTTTCATTTTATTTACAAATTATTTTGTTTTTTGTTATAGTATTGTACCATTATGCTTTGTCAATTGGATGTATTTCTTAGATAATAAAGCACAGTGATTAATTGAATAGGTGTTAAACACACCATGCTAACAGGAAAAAGTGAGCCTTTCTCTGACTAGCCTACTTGATCCGATGAAGGAAAGTCATTTTCATTGATAAATTAAATTTCTCAACTTTATTGAAGAAGATCTGCACTGGCTCATCCTTACATAAATAAAGGAGTAAATTATTTTCTGAACAGGTTCCAACACAGTGTTGCAATTCAACTTATCTAGTGTAACACCAAAAACAAAGACAAGTTCCCTACACAAGAAATGCTTCAATTCGTGCTCTCTCATGGTGAAAATTGTGCAGAGATAGGGATCACCATTGCTCGTTGGAGATAATTTCTCTCGAAAGTTTTGCCGACAAAACTGGTTGGCATTTTAATACTGGTTTGTTCTCTCCTTCAGAATAAATTTGTATTTCTGAAGTTGGCTTATTATTATTGGCAACATACCTTTCAACTTGCTAGAAAAAGCACACTAAGTTACTCTCTTGCTCGGAAATGTTTCCTTGCGATTTCTGAGGGTTGCTGTTGTAGGAAGACGACAGCTGATTAATGAAAAAATATATTTTTCAAACTACATCTTAGCATGGCAGGACTATACAAGGAAGCCAAGAAAGTCAACAAACTTAGACGATAAGATTAGCTATCCACCCTAATTTAATAAGGAAATATAATCTTCAAAAGAACCATTAGAATACATATTAAAGACGACAAACCTATGCTATATTTTTAGAGGGTCATTATGTATGATTTCTGTAGGTCTGAGATTTCTATTGGCTTAGAAAACCTGTAAATTAATCTCAATGAAAGAGAATTTGCTGCGGCCATGTTTTATGACCTATCTAAGGCTTTCGACTGTGTAGATCGGGCTGTTCCTTGGCGAACTCATTTTTGGCAGGCCGTCCTTATAGATGGTATTTTATCAGAGGAACGTTTGATTGGCTGTGGTGTCTCTCAATGGTCCGTTTTGGAACCTGTATTGTTTCTCATTAATATCAATGACCTAGTCCATGTTAACATAATAGTAAATTCACATTTTTCACTGAAGATACCACCATTCTCTGACACAAAAATACCACGTCAAATTTATCTGGCCAAATCAGCGCTGACATAAGAAGTGAAGAAATGGCCCAATGCCAATATTGCATCCTTCAACATCAACAAAACAAATGCGGTCTCATTCAGATGTGATATAGGGGAGGTGCACTTGCAAAATGAAAATTAAAATCATGAAGGATATCAAATTCTTAGGATGAGTGACTGAAATTTGATAGGCATTTTGACCATTTATTTATTAGCAGCAGGACGCCATACAGTGAGAGTTGTTGAGAGAGAGTCAGATACTGCATTACAATATGGTATTCTCCTTTATTTGTGGAACACATTAAAAATAGACTATCTGAATTTCATGATAATTTCAAGCAACAACTAATAGTTATGGAACTTTATTTCACTTGCATATTTTTTTTATTTATATTTTCCACAACTCTTGTCAATAAGATCACATTCTTGGGAAAATAAAATATATTTTGACTTGAATTGAGGCAACAAATGAGTTTCAGCCCTATTTCGGTTATTTTCACTTTTCCATCACATATCATTTGTTTTGAATTCAAACTTGTAATAGATTGTACCATATACAGTGGAGGGGGTTTAATTATTATTCTTGAGATTGTGACCATTGACTGATGCCAATTTTTATTCACCTCTGACCTCTAAGCTCACAGCAAAAATTGTAGAAGTTGTACATTTTCAAAATTAAACTTGAGGTTGGATCCAAGAACTCGTCCCACATCAGAAATGTGAAATCTTTCTCGACGCGAGTTTTACCAACCATGTTGGCGTCATCTACAGTTGATATACATTAATTCAAACTCTAACTTCATCTATTTAGCATTGACAGAATGAACTTTCACCTTCAGTCCCATTCAAGAACATTCATAATCCAAAAAAAGCTGTTCGATACAATAATTTCTCCATTGATGATTCAGTTGGAGTCAATTATTGTGATGTAATACACTTCTTAATTCATTTTAGAAATTCTGGTAGAAACACTATTTACAAATTTAGAGTTAAATTATACACAGCGACCAGAGTAAAGTACATTTCCCATGGCAATTTTTATATCAACAGGTTGAGCGCCGACTACTCCGAACAGAGTATATGGGCATCAATCAGCGATGCCACCCACTCCGATCGAAATGTTGTGTATGCCTAAATTATTCGGCATTGGCTAGAGGAAGTTTCAGCTGCACTGGTGTCCTTCTGGAAACATTTGTTGAACACGTGATATAGTTGGTTATGCGGTTTTTATTTTTTGTGACATTAAACATGGAGGCCAAACCTGGACCTTCTGGACTGCAGAAAAAAGAACGTAATTTACATGTGTACAGTAGGTAAGCATTCACAGATGAAGAATTATTGCAGTGTTTAGAAGATAGCAGTGGTGACGAATATTTGCCAGGGTCCGAAGACGAATATCCCTCCGAATCAGAATCAGAAAGTGATTCAGATGCACATGGTGATAACCAGACGTTAGGAAATATTCCAGTTTCGGTTGTATATACCAATTCAGCTTCGACTGATGCGGAAAAGAAATTCAAGTGGACAAAAACAGATATATTGAAACAGTTAACATTAAAAAAAAAATCAAAAGAGATTCTGGGCAGATGCAGCCTTATGAATTTTTTCAGGCTTATAATTGACAACACGAATTGCAAAAAACAAATAAAACATAACGGCATCAAAAATATGGTCGGCAGTCAACCTGTTAATAGTTTTATTCAAAATTTGACTTTGGCATCTATCTTTGCTTCACGTGATTTACGTATCAAATTTTAATCCTTTTACAAAAAAATTTCAAGGGTAGGTTTGTTTCTCTGGTTAACAATAAAAAAATATTTTAACGGAAAAACAGATTTTAACGAATTTTTTTCAACAGATTTGAAAAAAATTTCTGAATTTCAGCCACATGAGATTTTTTCTTTTTAGTTTTGACAATGCCTTTTCCTCACGTTTTCTTCAAACTAGCACCATAACACTTAAATGGGAGACTTCCTCTACACAGTTTACAAAATCACTAGTCTCGCTATATAATAGCTTTCTTAAGCATTTTCATACTTGTTTTTCTATAAAATACAAATAGGGCTATTGAAAATTACTCATAAGTGATGGCAAGTTTTTTTGGCCCTGAATAAGGTAACACCTTATTTAGTCTTGAAAAAGTAGTTTTGTGTCTTAAGTAATACACATCAATATGAAAAAAATGAATCTGAATTAGCTGGTTAGGTCAAGAAACGATTTTGAAATGAACAATTTTTCTCGCATTCTGAACATGTCAATATTTTGTTGACAAATTGTCAAAATATGAAAATTATAGATTACCTGCCATACCTTTGTCAAAAAAAAATGTCTTCTTCCACATATAGATATATCAGGTTTTGAATAATTCTATTTTATATTGAATATTGAATTATATATAATCATCTGTCTGAAGTAAAAAATAAATTATACGAATCTAATCACAAATTTTGCAAAGGTCTACTAGAGGACTTCTCACAGTACAAATACAAAAAATCCAATACTGAAAGTCAACAAATCTATTAGACCAGTTATAACTTCTAGAGTATAAGGTGTATCAGAGATTTTCCTTAATAATATTTGTATCAACAAAAATGTTATTTCAAATGAAATTTCATTTTGTCAACTTTGTTATTTTCAACTATCATACTAGACACTAAAACTCTGCAACTGTAATTATCTGACATTACCTGAAGTCCTTAGATTAGTTTACGTCCAATCATGGTTACCTAGATGCAATATTAAACGTGACTAAAATATGTAAGTGAGCGTAAACACTTTCAAAACAGAATTGTCTCAGAAATCTAAAAATGATAAAATATACAGGACGTTATGTTCAAAAATTCAAAAGCAGAGTCATTTCCAGTAAAACCGAATATGATTGAAAATAAATACATGGAAAGATTTATTCATCACCAAAGGAAATATGCAAAAACTCTCATTTTCACACACCGCTTACCTATAGCAAATCCCCTTTTATACACCTAATAGTCTAGAAGTTATGATTTGTCTAATATATTCAATGAAATCCAGTATATTCAGCTTCCATCAACAGGTGTTCTTTCTAAAACCATGAATGAAATGAGCAACTTTGCACAGTTTTACTATTCATGATTACTGCTTCAATTTTCTTAAAGAATTTATCGTAAAATGATATATACTTACTGCTTTAAATACTCCACAAAAGGTAGACACAATATTCTGACTGAATAAAGAAGTATAAGTTCCTCCAACATTCTTGACGATACAATCGATGAGATACAGGATAGGAAGTTTGACATCTGTGGAGACCTACACACAACAAACACTCACACTATAGAAATTAAATGAATTGAATTCAGATCACATTACTTCAAATCTACACCTTGTTACCTACGATGTTGTTGGAGACATGAAAATGGTCCAATATACAGGCACTTTTCTTTTAGCACTCTAGATAACTTTTAGTAGCACTGACTTTATTGATCTGGCAGTAGTAAAAATAGGCTCAGTTCAAAAACGTTATTCTCTATGAATTTTTAAAATTAAAGAAATATTTCACTATTTTTCTATGGATGTGAAGAGTTTCTAACAACACAAGTTTAAATTCAATAATAAATTCATATTACTTCAAGTTTAACAAATATAATATGATAATAATTTCTATAATGATTATACAATTTTCATACTATAAATTTTATTCAAGAAACGTTTTACTACAAGGTAGCTTCATCAGTTGAACTGGTACGTCAAACTATTCAACAATGTCTTTTATATAACAGTAGATAATTACAAAACTTAAATAAGTGATTGATTCTAGTGAAAAATATACAATTTCAAAAAACAATTACACTACAATATTGATCTATTGAAAAAACTTTCCAAACACCAGAACAAAATTACAGTCTCTCGACGCGCGTTCACAATCTACCTTTTTTGGTAGAATTGATCATTTATCTGATTACGTTTTGGCAATAATCAACATATTTATAAACTTCCTGTTTTCCTAGAAGAAATATTGTATTGTAACGTTTTTCAAAAGCTTCCTGTTTTGCCAAAATCAATCATTTATCTAATCAGGTGTTGTAATTACCTATTGTTATATATGATGTTATGATGTAGTGAAACATGTCTTGAATAAAATTTATAGTGTGAAAACTGTATAATTATTATCATAGATAGTGTTATTAATTTTCATCAATTAAGGGTCAGTGTATTCATAATATGATAATAAAGTAATTTTTCTATAATAAATGAAAACATTGTATCAAACCTTATTGCAAATGTATCCAGTGAATATAGCCACTTCTGTAAATAATTAGGAGATTTACCTAAAATCAATAGACTTTTAGATAATTATTTCAATTGGTCCACTAAGATACCTGTTTGAGTATCACCAAGAATAAATTTTCATGAACTGAAAACACTATTTTTACTATGAGAGCTGAAGTAAAATTTCTATCAGTTGACCTGTAAGACAACACCTTTTTATTTGTTTTATTGTTTTTTTCATAGCCTTATGTATTCTGAGTATAAGCAAAATAGAGGAAAATATATGTATTCAGGATGACTTCACCTAATATTTCAAGTTCACTACTGTAAATTCAAAATATAAAAATCCAATCTAGAAAGCCATAGCTTTGTGACGACTTGTCAAGCGTATGGTGCAATTTGATATCAATTTTGCTACTATAAATATATACAGACCTTGTAAGGTTTTATCTTTTGGAGGTCCTCATATTAAGGAAATAATGTTTCTCCGGTATAACTACCACTTTCTTCGATACCAAATGGAAATATTCACACTCACTACCTTTAACATCACTTAACTCATTGAACATAATACAATATGGCGTTGCTCCGCACCTTAACAATTTCAGTTTTGCCAACCGAACTCTTACTCGTAAAATTATAATTGCCAACTGAGTTGATTCTCGAAATTATTCTCATAGCAAACAAATATCTTTTAAAACGAAAATGTTGATTCAACGTAGACATGGTTAGTATATAATCACTGAACTTGAATATTATTTTTTATTTGTTAAATATGTTTTAAAAATTCCTTTTAGATTATTCTATTATTTTACTACTAAACCAATTTTTCATGTCCAGAATGAGAACATTTCAAAAATGCTTTTGTAATCTGATCAATAAAACTAGAGTTTAAATTTGTGATCGATAAAAAGTAAGATTAAATGTGGAAGATGATTTAAAATCAATTCACTGCCAGAATAACCATTTGAATTATTCATAAACCCATTAACCCAGTTATCAATGATAACGAGAAAAACTTATACATTTACTGTAACCTTAACCTCCCTCGTATATTGAGATGTAATGCAAAAATAAATGGCTTACTTCGTAAATGTTTATTAATATTAATCACAAAATCTTTGGCAGCCTGTGGAACAACGTAGAGCTCCGAATATAACCCACATTAATAAGCCAACATATTTTTTAAAATGACAATAAAAAAATATAACCTTTGACAGATGCGTTTCGATGGCTTCCACAATAACTTTTGCATTTGGAGAATTCTCATCAGCCAACATGGTGAGTACATTTATGAGGGGCTTGCTGTTGAAAGTTAAGTCAGCCAAGCTGGATGCGTATTCCGCCTTGATTTCCTCTGGTGTACTCATTTTGAATTTTTCTTGTTCCTAGACACTAAATATCACAGTCATTGGGGAGACCTGGAAAATTAAAAAAAAAACTTTTTGTAGAATAATTATGNCCTGAAATTATTTTCTGAAAATTTAGGTTTCCTTCCATAAATTTACCTTAATATTTTTATGAATAAAAAAATCATAATTTCAATCACATATATTATGAAGTAATAATAATAGTGGGCTTATAACGGACCCCTGTGTAATTATTTCATTTCCATCATGTCCAAAGTTAATCATGACCATTCATTTTTGCAGTGACATTCCAAACTTAAACCGTATATTTCAAACTTTCTGTAAATGTAAAAACTTAATATAAAAATCCAATCTAGAAAGCCATAGCTTTGTGACGACTTGTCAAGCGTATGGTGCAATTTGATATCAATTTTGCTACTATAAATATATACAGACCTTGTAAGGTTTTATCTTTTGGAGGTCCTCATATTAAGGAAATAATGTTTCTCCGGTATAACTACCACTTTCTTCGATACCAAATGGAAATATTCACACTCACTACCTTTAACATCACTTAACTCATTGAACATAATACAATATGGCGTTGCTCCGCACCTTAACAATTTCAGTTTTGCCAACCGAACTCTTACTCGTAAAAAATTATAATTGCCAACTGAGTTGATTCTCGAAATTATTCTCATAGCAAACAAATATCTTTTAAAACGAAAATGTTGATTCAACGTAGACATGGTTAGTATATAATCACTGAACTTGAATATTGAATATTGAGTTTAGTTCATAAAAGCAAATATTACCTAGCGCGGTTATTGTGCTAACGTGGTTTTACAAACGATGGTTGAAGTGTTGATCAGTGGTTGAAGAGATTGACTTCGAATCGAAATTGAAATTGTTTTCCAATCGTAGAGTTTTTTAATTAACAATTATTGTTAATCAGTACTTGGTCATCGTGATCTATTCGAAATAAGACGAAAATATGATCGACTTCAACCTCAATTTAAGAAATATTTAAAACATTTCAAATGTGTTCAATATACATGACGCAGTTAATCCGAGTCAGTCATCAGAATATTCGCAAATATGAAAAGAGGCGAAAAAGAGCTCCCAATTTTACTACAGAAGAGAAGGAAAATTTGCTCGTTACATTATAATTGAGGAACAAAAAATAATATAGAAAACTATTTAGAAGGAATTCAACAGTGAAGGAAGAACATTCAAATCATGAAGTATTGAAAAATTAATTTATCATTTTAAAAAAGAAAAGAAATAATTTGTCCTGAAACTAATTATTTTTGATCTTATTGCCACTTCATCACTTTAGTAGGCACTAACATCATAACCCATATTTCCTTATATATATTTTGTCACTATTTCTCTTGACATAATATGATAATTAACTTTAACTGACAACCCATACGTCATATTTCAGTTAAGGTGACTATCAATCAGTTGAGAGTTGACACACTTGAAAAAACACAAATTTTGAAATAAATTTCTGGTTTTCCTGCAGCTGAAAAAGCAAATGCGCCACTGGAATTAATGAAGTCGCCCCGGAGCGCCAATTAATTTTTATTGTTGTTTTTATTTTTATCGTTGTTTTAATAAAATCAATTCTCAATTAACTATCGATTGTAGAACCGGATCTGAAAGTAGTTGTGATTTGTAGTAGAAATACTAGGAGCGGTTATTGCGACTACACATGATTTGTATATATGAAAACACCGGATAGATTAGTTTTTCAGCAGGATAACCCTCTAGAAAGGTGAAACTGAAATCTCTGGCATGAATGAATCCAAAAAAGCATTGCTCCGAAATACTAAAAGTGCCACACTCTTCTCGACACGCATTGAACCGACTAAGATGTCGTCATCAGAAGATGAACTGAATCAATTCATGAATAATTAATGTATTACTGGTATTTAGGAGCAGTGTTTGTTTTGGATGAGTCAAATCGCGATTAAGTATCAAATGAAAAATATAATGATGGATTTTTTTCCTGTACTTCACATTATATTCAGTACTTTTGCCGTTCGTGCTCAAGTATTTTTCTAAAAGGTTGGTGCAACACTGAAAGTTATTCAGAGTAGGTAATAGGTTATTCGAGTCCAAATTGTAGATTATTTCCAAATGTGAATATTTTGAAGACACCAAGAATTCAAAGGCATTTTACCAAGGGAAAATGACACACATAAAATGAATGTTGTTAATCGTGAAATAATTGTGCCAAAATGGGCACAATTTGGAAATGTGGGCACCTGGGCACACAGTTTTCAAAAATATGCAAAATAATGAACAAGTACAACAGTGGAACAAAATTTAGGTCAATATTGAATACATCCACATCATCATTAGCAGCTGAACCTCTCTACTTCAGGAACCAGGACGTTGCTCAAGCACTGTCTACCCAGAGCCCAATTGGTTCAACTTTTGACTCTGGAAGTGGTAAACAACGTAAAACAAATGTCCAATAGTTACAGATCAATCATGAAAGTAATGAAACTGGCAAACCTACTTGTGGATAGTAGAAATCAAGATTCGTATATATAGCCGTATTCAGATTAATCATCAGAACAGTCCAAAGTAGTAGCACTATTGAATACAGAAAAGTTTTACGCGAGTCTATGTCTTATAAACAGTCAAACAATTGTTTTGAACCGTTTCAAATTCGTCCCAATTGCGAACCTGAATACAGCTAATGTTCATATACACAGAAAAGGAATAGGAAAATGCGCATGCGCAAAAGGTACTGTAGTACTGTCACAAATGAGAAGAAGAAAGGACAATTGAATATGTGCTTGAAAATTCTCAATCAACAACACTGCATGAATTGACATTTGACGTCTGTGAGCATTCGAATTTAGAAATGTAAATAATTCGTCTATAGATTTACTTTTCAAAAGTACTATTACTATTGAACGAAAGTCGATAAAATAATAATT